GGCATGAGTTGTATTGACTCTATTTTCTTTAGGGTGATGTTTCCATGGAAACGTCAGCTCAACTCATATCATTGTGGGAAAATTATATTACCAGTCCTTCATTATCTTAAAAGAAATAGGTTGAATACATCTCATATTAGTGATTTACTGGTAATCTCGAAACTCCACTTCAATACGAAAAATAAGTAATGTAGTCAAGTGCTATAGCAAATACAACTTTGTTTAATTAACAATCCCACTATGAAATGTCGTATAGGGCAAATCTTGGACTTTCTTGAAATTAATATCTGCCCAGTGACTAAAGGGCACTTGTGGCAGTCTGGCGTGGGGGTTAAAGTATCGACGCAATTCACTTTACTACAACAACCTCTGTTTGAGTCCCGCAGAGGGTGCTGATGAAACGTAGGCGAGGTCGAAACTGCAGTCCACTCCTGTCTGGATAAGAATACATTTTGGAAAGTGAGGCAATGTGAAATTCAATAGAAAATTAATCATATCGTTGTGAGAAAATACAACTACAATTTTCTCATTTCCTTAAAAGAAATATATCAGATCTACTGTTAATCTCGAAAATCTAATTATAAACGAAAAAAGCAAAGATCGCTTGAAAAGTCAACTCTCCTATTAAATCAACCGGAAATAGGTCAAACATCAGATTACTGATGATATGCGACCCTAAAAACGATAATTGATATTATCCGTATCAAAGCAACATTTTTAGAGTAAGGAAAGCTACAGATTTTAGCAAATACATAAGTAAAATGAAAAGCTTGAATTTTGATTTATCAAGGAAAACTAAATTATATCAATGAGGAGATGGCAAACATATAGGTAGCATACAATTTAGTGCGCAAGACATAATTAAACATAGAAAGCAAGGGGTAGGAGAGTTTAAAGCACAGATTTAGACTAATGTCAAAAGTAGCAGAAATTTTGCGAGGTAATACAATTATTGGCCAGTGATCTCCTTGTCGTATCGGCATCCGTAACAGCTCTAATTGAGTGGAATTTTAGGTCTAATAGCTCTGAACGATTAGTTTGCGCCAGTCTAATAAGTCTATGACTAAGATCTCAATACAACAGGATTTGTTGGTCTTAAAAAAACTCCCTATTCTCACTGATTCGGTAAAACCTGAAGATGAAAAATTATAGCAACTGAAGGTGCTCTAGGATGGCTTCAGAAAAGTTATGCAACCCCCGTGCACGATCGTCAGGTTAGCATGTTCTTTTTGAAGGTATGAAGACCAAGATGGTGTAGCCTTTTGTATAGTCGCAGTCTCATTTCGTTGTATAGAAGTTGTTTAACCTTGTTTTCGAAACTTTTTCATATTGACAGGATGGCTTAGATGAAAGCACATAGTCCTGAGTCCATAGTATGCATGATATTTTCCAGAGTCGGACAGTGGACATGGTACATTTCCAGACGTTTAGCCGGCATCGTACTCGGCAGCGTCAGTGAGCATTGTCAGTATTAGCATCACATTACAGCTCGTTAAGGTGACAAGTGAAGTCCATCCTTTAACCAATTGTCTGCTAAACAGTTGTGGTATCTCTCCTTGTGCCCTAGGATGGTAACAAAATCCTATATCCTCATATCATCCATAGACTTTGCACCATGGATAGAAGCAAGATTGATGCGGTGGAGACCAGAGCTAGTTAACTAACAGTAGACGTGTTTGATCATAGACGTGACCCATGAAGCAAAGGCTTAGCAATGAGAATGAGGCTCTTTAGCCTCAGGATAGTTTCCCATCCAGCTTGAGAATCCTGATTTTTAGGGGACTACTCGGAGAGTCGGTAGTTTGCGTGCCATCAAAAATTTGAGACAATATGGGAAATAACCTTGCGAGTAGTACGGAAAAGGTGGCAGGGGCGAGTCAAATATCTGAACCAGGAAAGTAGAAGGATCCTACACAGCAAAAGAGCGATTCTGATAAGACCTATGGGAAGAGGATTACGGGGTGAGCAGGTGAGAAAGCTAGCGTTAGGTGTGGAGAATTCTCATAAAATCCGCTCAAAAGAACACATCATATCACATTCAAATAAGCAATTAAGAAATTGTGATAGTGAATAGATGATACGAGGATATAGGGTATCTAAATAGCCCAGTGCAGAAGGAGAGATACCACAGCTATTTATCACACAATTGGTCAGGGGATAAACTTCACTCGTCCTCGTTTACGAGTTGTAGTGTGGTGCTAAGGCAGGCAATGCTTACTGACGATGCCGACTGCGATGCCGGCGAAACGTCTGGAAATGTACCACGTCCACGGTCCCACCCTGAATTTATCATGCATACTATGGACTCCGGACAAGATGCGTTCCTCTAGTTCTTCCTAACTATAAAACTAAGTTGCGAAAACAAGGTCAAACAACTTCTAAAATGTTACAACTTTGTCAGTAATTAAAATGATGTTATACCAAGAATTCATACTAAAATCTGCTGCCACTCTGTTTACCTAATTTAAGCGTATCTGCCAAATTTGTTTAGTCTACCTGACGAAAGTGTAAATGAAATTTGTGGGACATATTTCAATGTTAAAATTATATGTTATGAAACAAAAAGTAATTAGTTAATTCGCCAACATTCGTCGAAGCCTTTTCTATGGGGTACAGGCAGTTGCCAGATAGGACGAGAGATAAAATTGAAAACATATACTGAGCTGAAGGGTATAACGACTAAATACCAAGAGTAATTGGGTTTCGACGGTACTGTTAAAACTTTCATTTCGTATAAAAGTGCGTGATAGAGAGATTCGTAGGTCCTTCCTCGTTTCGGACGAAAACAGGTTAAACTTTCGTTCATCACATGATGGTCATCCTCGAAGCTGTAACTCATTCTTATAAAGGTCTTCATGGCCTGGTGTAAACTTGAGACTTTTATAAGAATGAGTTCCAGCTCTGATGATGTCCAGCATATGATGAAAAAAAGCTCAACCCGTTTACCCCCGAAACGAAGGAGAGTGGTCACATTGACAGCGTCATCTTAAACGTCGTATAACAGCCAAACGGCTGCAGTACGACGAGAATCAAGACTGGTTTTCTGATGAGATCAACTTTCCAAGCTCTTCATTATGTAGCCTCATACGAAATGGAAGTCTTCCGAGCAATATACTCACTAAGTCCAGAAGCTTCTGGTCTTGAATCGATGGCAGATGGCATCAGGAAAAGACGACTGACGGCCTCAATGAGATTGCCACTCGACGGCGAAACGTGAATCGGTTCAACTGCCGCCTTGGTCCTGGTATCTCCTTGCCCTGCATCGCCCACATATCGTTTTTTCACTCTTTGTGTCTCAATCATAGTATGTACCGATAACTTTTCTTCTTCCCTTCTTTGTTCTAGCATATGCATCTCTTTCGTCTCATACTCCTTGGGGTCCCTATGACCCAGATCTGCAACCCCAATGTCACCACTGAGGCCGACCCCTTCGTCTCCGCCCGAGTCCCGATCATTAGCCTCTAGAGACGCAGGGTCTAATGATACAACACCAGTACCACTTGCACCTGTACTGAAACCAGTTGACAATGACGCGCCTCGGGCTGACGTAGAACCTGTCCAGGTCTCCTGAGCATCTTAAATAGCATAAAACAAAGGAAAATATTGTAAAATATTGTAAAAGGTAAGCAAAATTTGAGTCCCTCGTTAGAAGCAGAAAAGACGTAGAATCAGAGTAAATTCTTGAATGAGGCAGCAGCTTTTTTAAGAAAAATGGAGAATAAGTTATTATGCATTCCGCAATGATTGACGGATACGTTAAAAGGTCCGAAGTAAGATAGTAAAAAAGAAAGTTAGATTAGTTAACTTCTAACATATGGTAGCAGACAATTTTGAAAAGCACCGGGTTCTTAACCGATATATAGCTCACATTTCTTTAGAAAATTTTCAAATAGCAATGCATCTGAAGGCTAAAACACAAACAAGGGATATTCTATATGTAAATTACACCAAACTTTATATAAAAATAAATGATTGGGGATAATCCGTCCTTTTATGAGTATTTTTCTGGACTGGCAAAAGCATCTTCTTTAAACAGAGAGGTTACCCTGTGTAAAAATAAATTTTCGCTTATCTTAAGAAAAAATAGTGATAAATCGAGAGAGGTGCAAATTTGCTTATATGAATGGCCAAATGCTCAGTATTTCGAAGTATATGTGCAAGTCAGGCCCATGAATCGAGAGGAAGATGATGAAAGGGTATTTTTTAATTAGAGCACGCGCATGCTCGTGTTATATCTGATATTAGAGGATGAGATTTAGTCATTTTGCATGAAGTCATTCTCCAGCCATCCATATCTTGTAAGATGGGTTTTCCGCTTGACAGCCCACTATATTTCATTATTTATGTAGGAAAACTGTCATGCGTGGATGTGCAAATTTTCACATTTTCATGAGCAAGAAGCCGAAATCGTTATATTTATTTCACGAATTTGCTTGATGATCACCATTTAAGCTGGCGATTAGATATACTCAGGACAGTCCACTCTGGAAAATTAACCTCGGGGAAGATTAGGCTAATTTAAAAGCTAAGATAAGCTACACTGATGCTAAGAGAAATTCAGTGGCATCGTGAGGCCTATTCATCTAATTTAGGGAATACTAAACTGCAGGTCGTTAAATCACCTTAAGTAACCTAGGTTGAAAAAATTCTTGAGCCCAGGGAGACAAAAGAATATAAATTTCCACAAACACTTAGGAAAGTCCGAACTAACGCTTTTATTTACTTGTCATCAAAAAGCAAAATCCTACAGCATGACGCCTTAAATTAATGATCTCTGTGAGGTTGATCAGCATCGTATTGTGTGGTAAAATGTGCAGTGATTAATCTTTACTAAATCGTGCAACTGGAAGTTTGTTTAATGATATCATAAGCAGGCACCATCAATAGTAAAGTTTCAAGCAGAATCGCATGTTTTTGGACAATGTGAAAGCGTACCTGTTTCTCATCTCCCAAAGCTTCTTATTCCTTCTCTCAGTAGGCCAGAAGGTATGAAAAATATTTAGATGTCAAGATTTGTTATTCTTCCTGAGGCGACGTGAAAACGTCAAAGCATGGCTATGTTATTCGGTAGAAGAATTTAACATTGTCTTCCTGCCAAATTACTTAACCCATCTTAAATCTAAAACATGAGGCAAGACAACTATCATTCAGCAGCTTTTACCAGGCTGATCGATTAAAATATACTTTCTGGAGCTTGTTAAGAGCTATTAGAATCTTCTCAAGGTCGAATATAGGATAATTTTGTTATTGAAGCTTCGGTTTACTTCTGGCCGATAGTCCTCTGCCAGCCTGCAGAGCGTGCCCGGTCAGGTGGCCAAGAATGGGTCACACTAATCACGTTGTCAAGCCGTCTAAAACTCCGCTCCCATGAGTTCACATAAATACCCATAAACTGTAGGAACATATAGAATTCCAAACATATATATATATATATGTAAAGAAGAATATTCCTAAGGACATATTGGCATAAAGAAAGGACAATTGGCAAAAAATTGGCAAGAAAAGACAAGAAAAGAGGAAGAATAATAGGTGAGCAATTAGGCAATGGGCAACTAGAGGCAAGATGATGGGAAGACAAATTTCTAACCCAGTTCTCGTGTAGCCGAGCCCATCGCTTTCCAAAGTTTAGGGCTAGGCTTCACCAAGAAGAGGTGTACACGATCTCCGGCACCTCGGAGAACGTCTACAGCGTATTCATGCGTTATGCCCACCAGTGGTTTGTCGTTAACCTGTACCAACCGGTCACCAACTGAGATTCGCCCATCAGTATCTGCCACCCCTCCTGAGGTAATCTATTCAAGCAGTAAATAAAAATAATGAAATTATATTAAAGATATAAAGTGGAAATACAAAATGGTTTATACCACCAAAATAGGATCAAGAAGGTATGGAATTCAGAAATAACATATGAATAAACCGAATTTATACTTAAATGATAAATATATATAATTATATTCACATCTTAAACATTATTTCGTGAATAAAATTCGAAATAATAGCTAATTTAGGCAATAGGTAATAATATTTTAGGAATAGTGGTAGTCACCACAGGTGCCTTGGGGTCAACTGGAATCCATGACAGTGTAGCTTAGTGACACCATGTCGAAAATATACGCCAATATCCAAGTTCGATTACCTTGGAGATGCTAGCGAGGCGCATAAGAGGTTAAAACTGCAGCTTATCCTGGATAAAAATAACTTATGGGAGAAAAGGCTAAGAGAAGCTTAATCGCATGGTAAGGCCCAATCATATCATTGTTGGAAAATTCAACCATCAGTCCTTTATAGCGTTACGCAAACTAAGGGGACAATCTGGAAACCTGCCAACTAGGAATGTGATAATTTTTTATCCTAATTCTATTTCATGTGAAAGTGTGACGATGATTGTTAGGGGGCTTTCATTTTGTATGAAAGTGGATGAAGAAGAGATTCGTTGGTCGATTTCCCCAGATGAAGACGGATGAATCTCGTTGTACTTCAGCCGTTTGACTTTTATACGATATTCATCTTGACGCAGTCCAAGAGAATTCCTCCCTCGTTTCGGGTAAAAACGTGCTGAGCTTTAGGCTATCATATGATGAACATCGTCAGAGCTGAGTATCATTCTTGTAAAAGTCTAACGTTAACACTAAAGCAAGAACAATATCCGGCTCTATCTTACTACTCATATAGACTAAATTAAGCCAAATGAAAATTAAATACCTAGATAGATCGATATAAAGTGGTTTTTTTAATTATTTTTTATACTGGTTCTATTACTTTTGGTCGAGTGTATGGGTACGTGTATGTGTGCGTGTTAGCGTCTATATGCAATCGGTTTCTAAATCAGAGTTGTCAAAGGTTTAATATCAGGTTCTGATCCTCAAGGCATAATGACCCAAGAGAAAGCCTTGACTGAGACTGCGTAAGTTCGTAAACAAGTATGGTTGAAATAATGAGATATGAGCTTGTAAGCATGAAAATCAAGTTAAGAAACCACCTTTCAGTCTAGGGTCATTGACGTTTAACCCCCCAAAGAAAGGCATGATTGGGGTTGTATAATCTGACATGTTTGGTTTGGTTGATGAGCTTACTCTAATATTTTGGGTGAATGTGGGTGAAATTAGAACCATCACTCAGCAGACTAATAGAGTCGTTTTCTTTTTGATGGCGGCTCAACACCCTCTCTTTCCTTCAATCTATCAGTCAAGCATAAGTAATTCCTACTCAACTTTCTACCACCCTTCATCACATTCAATGTGTTTCCTAAGCTATTAATTTCAATAGCCTCTATTATCTTTCTTTTAAACACAGACGTACCGTAATCAGCAAGCCTACTAGTTTGATACCATTTTATTTCATGTTCAGTTTCTACCTTATGTTCGGCCACTTCTGACCATTGGATCCAGCTATCTTTGCAAGCATTATTGTGTTCTACCAATCTTTGTTGAATAGGTCGGCATGTCTCACCAACATAACATCGACCACATCAGCAAACAATCTTGTAGCAGCCGGATCTTGATAATGGCTCATATTTCTCTCTAAAAGATGGCATAACAGAAGAAAATGAGTAGGGTTTCGAGACTACATCTCATAACAGAAGAAATTGTGAGGCTTTCTTTGAACACTGTTTTTATGCCCCACTTCTTTACTAATTCGCCTAGCTTTTTTGTGAAATGGCGTGACGGTAAAATTAGGACATATAAAAATGTTTCAGTCTGTCTATCTTTGACTTAATGGTCTCCGTCTGAAAATTTATTCCTCAGTAGAGAGATATTATTGTCAATAAGGCCAAAAGGATAATTATTTTCCAGGAATATATTTGTCAGTCGTTGTAACTCTTTATTCAAATGTTTGCTATCCGCTAGCCTCATACTTCTAAGAATAATTGACTTCAAAATTCCAACCTTAGTCTTGTAAAAATGGTTGTTAAAAAAATTAAGCAAAGAGCCAACATTTTTTGGCTTCCTATCAACATCTCTTCTTAAGTTACCCTTTTCTTTAATGATGAGTACATCCAGAAAAGGTAAGGATTTATTCTCTTCCATTTCCATCGTGAACCTAATGTTCCTTTCACGCTGGTTGAGTGAAAGTAGGAAACTATCTAAATTTATCAAGAGGCCAGATGACAAAATAGTCATCCATGTATTTTACCAACAGTTTGGGTGTTAGTATTGTCTCTTGCAGGAAGTTTTTCTCAAATTTTGCCATATAATTGTTCGCTAAGATAAGAGACCCGAAACCCTCCTTTTCCTTCGAAATAATAAGTCGAGTCACAATAAATTTTGAATAGCAAACCACGACAAGAATTTAAATTATGTCAAATAAAATGGAAATATAGACACTATAACTCAGAATTTTGTAATAATGTGATATTCCTCAAAGTATGTCACTTGTATTCCTTAATAATCAGTCGCTTAAAGCGAAAGAGAATTTTCAGGGCTTTTAATTTTAAAAACTTGCCAACACGAATTGCCTAAAGTTTCCATTATCCCTGGCTAATTTACAGATTAAGAAATGCAATCTTGTCAGCTATCAACTGGAAGAGACGATGAAACAGTAATTCGGTAATAGGATCAGCCACCCCAAAGGGAGTGGAGCAAGGCAAACAGCAGGTGTGATGACGCCACGGTAAATTCGCCAAAAGGACACATCTCTTGTGGAATATAAGCGTGTCAGAAGTTGTGATAGGATGAGGGCGAGACTGGAGAGTATGAAATGGATAGAGGGACGAGGACAGAACGAGGGCTGATAGCAGAACCGTCTCGACAGAAAGTTGTTAAAGGGATTGACTTCACTTGTCTCATTGACGAGTTGTAACTTGGTTGCTAAGACTGGC